CCGGGTGCCATCTCGCCGCAGGGTACCCCGCCCCGCCCAACGTCACCATCAGTAAGCTGCGGTACACGCGGGCGCGCACCGAGGTGCGGCTGGAGTGGCGGACGCAGGGCGCCGGCAACCTCACCGGCTTCGTGGTGCAGCGGCGCCAAACCAAGAAGCCCCTCCGGGAGACCCCCAGCCCCTGGGAAACAGCCGCCGGCGACATCGAGCCGCACTCCCGCGACCGGCGCCTGGGGGGGCTGGACCCCGCGGTGCTCTATGCTTTCCGCGTCCTGGCCGTCAACCACCGCACGGCCGGGCACCCCTCCGAGGTGCAGACGCCAGGTGAAGCGGGCAGGGGCTGCTCCGTGGGGGCAGAGCAAGGGTTGAGTGAAGGGCAGCGTTCCCGTCCCGGTGGAGCTGAGGAGCCGAGTGTGAGCAGCCGTCAGTAGGTTTCAGGAACGGGCTCGCGCCTTCCCGGGCCTTTCTGGGCTCTGCCCGTCCCTGCTGCCTGCCATGTTCCCTCTGCTCTGTTCCAGCCGAGCCTCCCTTCGAGGCCTACCCGGCGGTGACGGGGGCGGCGGTGGCAGGGATGCTGGTGGCCACCGCAGCATCGCTCCTGGCCGTGCACTGCATCGCCCGCCACCGGGAGACCCTCCCGAGTGAGTGCCAGGGGGCTCATGGGGGCACAGCGGGACCCCCGACCGCACAGCTCACACCGTCTGTCCCCCCAGGGCTGCACGACCTGCTGTTCCGCACGTGAGTGCCCAAATCCCTCTGCCCCACCGCTCCCAGCGGGCACCGGCGAGACCCCGCGCGTTCCGCAGGGCCGGGCCCGGCGCGCAGGAGCCCGCGGGCACCGCGGAGGATGCTGCAGCAGCCGCGGGCGGGGAGGAGGCAGCAGGGCCAGCGCAGGGACACCCGTGTGCCCCCGGCACGGCAGCAGGTACCGGGCCAGCCGAGGGCTGAGCCACCCGCCCCGCCGACCCAGCCCCTCCTGCGGCGCTCGGGCTCCTCCAGCCCTTGCAGAGCCGCTCTCGGCAGCACCAGGCACCAGCGATGAGCCGCCAGTTAATGTCACCATCACCGTGACAGCGACGCCGTGACCGCTCCGGCTTCTGCTCCTTATTTCCCTCTCCTCCTCTCGCCCACGCCACGGGACGGCAGCACCCACCCGGGCTGCGAGGCGGCTGCTCCGAATGCAGCACCCGGAGAAAGCCCCTCCGCCTCAGCCTGCAGTTACTGCTGGAGTAAAATAAATATTTAGGCTACAATAAATAGTTTCTCACCGATGGCAGGAAAAAAGCCCGAGGGCCGAAGCGCTGCTCGCAGCCCCAAGGCTGGCACTGGCTGGAGATGCTGCTTTGGGATTGTGCTGGGGTTTCTGTGGTACAGAGACAGCCACAAAGCTTTTCGTGGGAAGGGGCCTCATCTTCACCCCCAAACTCCCCCGTTTCAGGCCAAACCGCAGGAGGTTAAAAATAGTGATTGGAGGTGGTTTTTCCTGCATTGGTGCAAACACAAAGGGAAGCAGGGTCCAAGGAAAGTGTCAGGCAGTTCCCAGCTTTCCTCATCTTCTGATGTGTGTGGAGACAAGGGCATCTTGGGCCATTTTCTCCTGGATTTGGTTAATAATAACCCACTGAGAAGTATCAAGCCACACAAACCAACCTTGATCAGTGCCCACAGAGTATCAATCCCCACAGCAGCCATAAAGCAGCACTGATCCCTTTATCAAACCACCCCCAGAAACACAAACCCTACCCAAACTCCCTGCAAAACCATCACTTCAAACACATAACATTCCAAAGGGATATTACAGCTTCTCTGGAAAACAGAGCGTCTTTATCTGACACACCCATCATTCAGGGGAGATTTAAGCAAGGTTAAATTTAAATTTAAATTTAAAACCATGGTTAAATTTCAGTGTTTGGTGAAAATGAAGCAGCCACAGTTAAATCCCAACCACTTGTGGGCCAATCTCTGTTGGAAAAGGGGAAAACATTGCAGCAGATCCTGCAAAAGGAAAATCCAGGCTGTGAGGGCAAGATAAACAAAAAGGGAGGAGTGAGATCTGTGGTGGCTCTGGGGTATGTGGCAGCCAAAGCCCAAGCGTGTGAAGTCCATGGTGTGCAGAGAACTTTGGAATAAGGCAGCTCCAGATGGGAGGATGCTCAACCCTAAAAAAAAAGCAAAAGAATACATATAACCACAAATAATGCAATAGAAGAGAAGGCTTTGGGGAGAGCTCATTGTGGCCTTCAAGTACCTGAAGTGGGCTTATGAAAAGGAAGGAGAGGGATTTCTTAAACAAGCAGATACAGGACAAGGGAGAATGGTTTCACACAGCCCGAGGGCAGGTTTAGATGGGATAAGGGGAATAAATTCTTCCCTGTGAGGGTGGGGAGGGCCTGGCACAGGGTGCCCAGAGCAGCTGTAGCTGTCCCAGTCTTGGAAGTGCCCAAGGCCAGGTTGAACAGGGCTTGGAGCATCCTGGGACAGTGGGAGGTGCCCCTGCCCATGGCAGGGGTGGAATGGGATGAGCTTTAAGAATCATCAAATCAAACTGTTCTGGGATTCTATGAAACATAAAAAACCCCATCCCAACACTCGGAGCAGCCATGGAGCTGCTGCTACTGAAGCAGATCTCAAGGACTTCCTCCTCACACAGACATCACTCCCCAAACCATGGCAAAGCTGCACCAGTAGCCCTGAGCTCCCCAGGGTTTTGGAGCAGCTGCAGCCAAGGCTGGCACGGCTCCCTCCCTTCCCAGACTGGCCAGGGACACGCTGCTCTGGGCTCTATGTGTCACCTCGGGGTGGCCATCACTGTAAACTGTGCTTCACTTCTGGGGCTTTGCACTGTGCCTCGTGTGGGTGGATGGAGTGCTTTGCAAGCACTGGTTTGGGTTATTTACTGGGATTCAGTTTGGAAAGGAAAAATTAAAACACCCACCCAAACCTTGTAGGTGAGGTTGCAGCACCTCCATCGTGCTGTGTCCAGGATGGGTGGGTTCCTGACAGTCGTGGCCAGGGCTGCTGGGAGCTTTTCACCATGACTGATTTCATTTCAGAGCTATCCAAGCTGTTAGTAATCCCTCAAATCAAGAGTTGAACTGGATTTTGTCTTCTGTGAGTGGGAAAGTGAGACAGGCTGGATTTCCACTTGTACTTCTGCTGAAGGGTTGTTGAGCACCTAAAGACACAGTCACTGACTCAAGTTCTGCTTCAAGCTGCACAGGACAGACTCAATCAGGGCTCACTTTTCTTATTGATCTTATTTCCTCATCAGGATCTTCCCAGAGAAACCAACAGAGACCAGGAGGTGTTCATGGAAAGGAGGGTTCAAGTACCATGTCACTGAGCTGCCAGGGAGGTGGCAGCTGTTGGTCATTTCAGACCTGCTTAAATCCCTCTCTCGGGCTCCTCGGAAGCACTTGTCCCACTGGTAAATTGCCATGGAAACACACTTCACATTTCCCATCCTCATTCTTTATATTATTACAATTCTTTCTCATACACATAACCAGGCTAGTTTTGTGGTGTGTGGGGGGAAGAAAAAAAAAAAACCAACAAAAAAGGGATTTCAAGGCATAAATAATATAAAAAGGCAACCATTTTGAAACCAAGATACATTCATATGACACTACTACAAAAAATAAATAGTGACTCTCTCTGTTATAATTAACATCCCCCCGTGACTCCCTCAGCGGTGCTGCGGTGCAGTTCCTGGCGTTAAGTGGGGACAGCAGTCACTGCCTCAGGTTTCCCGCAGCTGGAGCTGACAAAGGTCCCCAGAACCGTTTAGGGTGATTCCGGATGAACTCCATCCTGGTTTTTCCTTACAGTCCTTGGAAACAGGCTGAAGAATGAGGGGGCTCCAACTCAAAATGTGGTTCGATGTTTCCGAGTGCAGGAAGCTGCCGCCTGCAAAGCAAGAGCAGGGCGGGTGGTTGTGTCGGGGTTTTCAGGAGATTCTCTGTCAGCTCAACAGAATCACATGCCCCAGAACTCTTTAATTCCAGTGGGTGATGCTCTTTGGGCTCAGGCCCATTCCCACCATACCAGGCACAAGCACAGGGCAAAGGCTCTATCCCAGCACAGCACCTGTGTTGAACAGCTCACACTGCGGAGGTCAGCCCAGCACGGGAATAATAAAACCTGCTCCGAGATGGCTGCTGCTGAAAACAGCTAAGAAATAATGCTGAACCTTTAGGATTCATTTGCACATGGTCACAATTCACAAAACTGCTGCATTCATCCCAAATAAGCAACAGCTCCAGGCATTTGGTGGAAATGGGGCAGTGAGAAATTCATGGCACCAAGGCCACACTCCTGGTCTGGCATGCCCTGCCAGAGGTGTGTCCACCTGAACCTCCCTCCCCCTGCTGCCACGGGGTGGGTGCAGAGGGAGCAGCCTGATTTCAGCACACAAGGTGCAATGATTCCAGGATGGGACAAGGAACAGGTTCTCCTTCCACCAACAGAGACCAGGTCCCTCCCTGTGCCGGTTCCTGCCTCTAGGATGGCTCTGAAATGCTCGTGTCCTGTGTTGGGGGCAGTGGGTGTGCTGTGAGTGCAGCATCCATCAGTCACAGCCTCCTTGTGTGTCAATGAGCCCATTTTAGAGGCATCAATCACACGGGCATGGCACTGGAGCAGCACGGCTCCCCATTTCCACGATGGGAAAGGCGGGACGCTTCACCTTCCTCCAAGCCTGCTCTTACAAGGGTTTAATTACTGGCTTCTCTGCAATAAATTAAGCTCCCTACAGATGTCCTACAGATTACTCCCAGCTTCCCAGGCAGGTGCTATCCTCTGTGGGATGCCTCACCGTCCATGCAATCCAGGGAGAGCTGGCTCACGCCCTCCCGACAGCAGGGCCGTGGTGCCGGGGGCTGCTCCGCGCTCTCCCGGCCCTCCTGCTCCAGCCGGGCGCTGCACTCGGGGCTGGCCGAGGCCAGGCACATGGCCACCATCACCTGGGGGCTCAGGGGCTTCATCTCCACAGCGTCCTGCTGGCAAGGGGCTCCCAGGGGCACCACGGGCAGCGTGCTGCTGCTGAAAGTGCCGTTGGTTTTGGTGAAACACCTGCGGGAGGGACAGAGGCCAAAGTTACTCACAGCGCCTTCTTCCCCTCACAGCTTTGAAATGTTTTACCGCATCAACAATCAGAGCATTTGTCACATCAGTTTTAAATGTATTCGTGGAGAGATTCTGACATTAAGAAAAGGATTGAGTGGTTTTCTTTCTCCCAGCAGACAGCTGAAAACATTCAAAACACGCTTTGTTCCTTCCCCCATCAATTGAGACCCAATGACCTGATTGTGAGTCCATTTCTCCATCAAAGCAACTCCATAAAATATGTTTTCACTGCCAAGATAAAGAGCTCAAATTTGAAACCCAAGCAGCACACTTAGGTACCTTGAAAAATAAATACTAAGTGTTATTGGAGTGAATGCAAATTAGAAAAATAGATGCAATATAACAAATCTAACCCCCCTGTTCGGCAGTGTAAGTCAGACTGTGGCCCTGTAATACCTGTGTAAAGCTGTGGAACTGAAATTAAAGCACTGAATCAATTGTTACAGCTGAGGAATTTAAGTTTTAAACAAAAAGAAGCAGGATTTTGACACACATACCATTGTGGCGTGAGGGAAAACACCTCAGTGTTTGCAGCCTCATGAACAATGTGGCCCTCAGGGAACATTTATATAAAGAATTCCTACATAAGAAAGCCATAACTACCCAAAAAGTTAAAGGTTCACTTGCACAGCTACTAGAAATTTTGCGAAACTACATGCCAAGATGCTCCTTGGTGCAGGATAGAGATGGATCCACAGATAAACACATGGAAATAAGGATGGAAAGTGTCCACACCCTCCACTGACACCCCAAAATGCTCCTGTGAAAGCTGAGCAAGCTCCAGGTCTTTATGTGCTAATGCAGATACAACTCTGAGCACCCTTCTTCTCTTTTTTTTCTGACAGATGTAAACCCATCCCTCACCTGTTTCGCTCACAGGGATGAGCCCAGCACTGATTGCTATCTGTCATCCCTGGGGCTGTGTAAGACTGGCATTTGGAAACACAAAAATTGATCCCTG